TTTTAACTAATTAAAATAATAATTAAAAACTAATTTTTAACTAATTAAAAAAATACTTACCTTATACTTACCTGCTCGTTTCGCTGAAAATGGAGGGGGTAAGAATAAAGAAAAACACAAGGTTAAATTTATTCGTAATTTCAAATTGTTATTGTTTTTAGTACTTACCTTTGCGGCTACGATATATTTGCACATACGTTTGAATAGCACTTAAAAGTGCTGATTTATTAAAAAATTATATAAGTTTTTTATTAAACAAATAGTTAGTCTATGTTATATTTAACCATACGTTTGAATAGCACTTAAAAGTGCTGATTTATAGAAAAATAATATAAGTTTTTTATTGAAAATTTAGCACTAATATATTTGCACATACGTTTGAATAGCACTTAAAAGTGCTGTTTTAAATTTATCTGATCTGATCATGATATCGATTAACTGTCGGGATTGTACAGCTTCGTCAACTTGAAAAAAAAAAGTGGCCCAGAAAAGGGCCGATCGTTCGTTCGCTGCAACTTGTCACTACCAACGGCTTGCCACCACCTACTCTTCGTCCGTTGCGTGAGAAAAAAAGAGCGTATGCGCTATCGCGATCCTATATTAATACACATTGGCGTCTTTTCTCCGCACTAATCACATTTTCTTTAGCTACTCCCACCACTAATTATGATCGTCTTATACGCGCGACAAAATCAGTGCTATCGCGTAGTCTCGCGTCCCTACTCCCAAATCTTCGACCAATGACCAAAACGCGGCAAGTGTTTCAAAAATGAATAAAATTCGAACGCCTTGCAACGATACGTCATTGTGATTTTTTTTGTCGTGAAGTTAAGTTCAGTGAAGAAAAATGCAGCGTGAAAACGATAAAGCAGTGAGTGATGAATTGTTGGAACAATTGTTTTCGCCGGACAATGTGTCGTGGCAAGACGCACTGAATGAAGCAATCGAGGCGTTGGGCGAGGACATAGATCTTTCCGAAGATGAAGTCTTACAAGAAGCAGCGGTGGACGAAGTCGTCGTTGAGGAGCCGCGAACACCTTCGCCGAGGAGGAACGGCAACGACATCCACGAAGCGGCAACAATACGGATGCCGCTGACACCTCCACCAACGATATTATTGTAAGTATCATTTTTTTTCATTCTCTTTTACTCTCTCTCATTCTGTTTTTTATAATATAAAGAACAAAATCATTAAAATGTAAATAGATATGTTCTTATTATTATAAAATTTTATATATAATTAATACCATTATACTAATAAAACAATTATATTTAAATTTTATTAATTTATCAATATAATGGTATTAGTTATACATAAATTTTTTATAATAATAAGAGCATATATGTTCTTTACATTAAAAAAAGAGGTTCTGTTCTTTTTTTCATTGAATAATATTGTATTATTCGTTATATAATATGTATGTACGTGTGTATATGAGAGAGAGTATTTCCAATTTTAAATTTAATGTCCCTTTCTCTCACGTAGTTAGAATTTCTTGTTTTGTTTTTGGATCGCGTTTTTTTTTTTTTACGATGTCTGGTTTTCGTCGTCGTAGTCGTTATCGCTGTTACTCTCATAGTTTTATTATACATGTGTTTCCTATTACAGCAGGCATCGGTCGCCACTTGAATCACTGCCACCGTCTCCAAGCTTGCGATTGCTACCAACGGTGAATGTGTAAGTTGAATATTGTTATATATAAATAGATATATGAATTAATTTTTTTCAATTAAAGAATCTTTTTTTTGCAGGTCTGATGACGATGACGACGACGACGTGGAGATGGTCTGCGAGGTGATTGTCGCGCGTCGACCACCACCACCACCATCATCACGACACGTGACACACGTCGACCTGGTGACGCCTCGAGCAGCACCTGTGATCATCGACATCACAACGCCACAGCAGCCGCTCTTGGTGAACTTAGTTTCACCAGAGATACAAGAGACGCCCTGCCGCCAACGAGAACAGGTATGATTTTTTTCTCTTTTCTTTTTTTCTAATCGGCGGTAGTATGTTCAAAGTTTTTTTCATTTTTTAGTTGCAGGTCGACGACAACAACAACAACATGCCAGTATGCGAGGGCTGGGAGTGCGTATACTGCGCCGCTGGTCGCTGCAGTCGGCAGCCGCAGTGGGTGGAATCACCACCGCAGCGCGGCAGCAGGCGGCACGTAGATCGAAATGGGCCGGTCAGACACATGGTGCGCAGATTATTTACATCGAGGTCGTGCAGTCCCGAAGGTTCCCCCGCTGTGCGCCAGCCTTCTAGATCGCCGTCGCCAGGTCCCTTGAGTAGACCTGCGAGATCGCCTGTAACGGCGCTCATGCAGGATCTCCACATCACGGGGAAAAAGCGCCTGTGCGTCATGGACGAAACGGTCGACGGCGCCCCGCGCTATAAAGTTGCCAAGTTATTTCCCGCTGATCACGACGACGACGAAGACGACGAAGACGACGACGACGACGATGATGATGGTGACGATAACTAAGCATCGGTTTTTTTTTTATAAATTTTTGTACATTTTTTATATATTTTTTTGATTTTTTTGTACATTTTTTAATATTTTCTTGTATTTTTTTTATATAATAAATAATTATTAATAATATGTCTTTTTTATTTCACCGATCAGACACACACACACACACACGCGCGCCCACGCGCACACATCGAACATAAAAAAATTATTATTCGTTATATACCAATTATAATAAATATTTATGTATAATATTTATTATAATTAGTATATTTATTAAACTTTATTATCATTTTTATGTATTAGCGCTTGGGCCCTCCCCAGCAGCAGCAGCAGCCGCCGGCGCCGCCGCCGCCCCCCCCCCACATATCAATCGCGTGTGTAGCCAGTATACACAATACGGTATTGCCCGTGGTAACAGTGGCTGTAGCTCTAGCGGTAGAGCATCGGCCTGCGGATCCGGAGGACGCGCGTTCGATCCCCCGATCCGTCCGTTTTTTTTCAGATAAATCTAAAAATTTTTAACACACGCGCGCACACGCGCGCACACACACACACACACACACACACACACACACACACACACACAATAAGATAATCAAAACGCGAAACACTGAACGCGCGCGCAGTGCATAGGAAATCAAATCAGTGGGAGAGGGGGAAGTGCTGCAGAGAACGCGCACGCCACATCAGATCAAGCCACATCAGATCAACTCAGTAGGGGAGGGGGGAGTGCGTAGAACGCACCGGTATAACTCAGTAGGAGGAGGGGGAGGAGGTGATGCGCGCATAGGAATCAAATCAGTGGGAGAGGGGGAAATGCTGCAGAGAACGCGCGCACACCACATCAGATCAAGCCTCATCAGATCAACTCAGTAGGGGAGGGGGAGTGCGTAGAACGCACCGGTATAACTCAGTAGGAGGAGGGGTAGGAGGTGATGCGCGCATAGGAATCAAATCAGTAGGAGAGGGGGAAGAACGCACGCCACATCAGATCAACTCAGTAGGGGAGGGGGGAGTGCGTAGAACGCATCGGTATAACTCAGTAGGGGAGGAGGGGGAGGTGAGTCGACAGTGCACGGGCCGATCGGGAGGGGGGGGGTGAGGTGAACATGCACACACCTCAACTCACACACTTCAACTCAGTGAGCTAGTACCCCTCTGAGTTGATGCCCCTCTAGTTTACCTACTATCTTGGCTGTTGAACAACACAGTTCTGCAAACATTCAAGAAAAATCTGAGATAGAATTGCCATCTTCAGCAAGTGCTGTAGTAACTGATCAAAGTCAATCTTCTGACCCAATAGTGTCTGATGGTAGCTTGGGGTTTGTTTCTGAAAACCAAGAAAAAATTTTGAAAGAAGAAAGGTTAAAAAGAATCTTGGATGAAAATTATCTCAAAAACGACAGCAACAAAATTTGGAAACAGTAGTTCAGGGAAGTTATGAAAGAAGTATAGAAAAAATAAATGATGTTTTTCAATCTGACTTACCTGTGAGCCAAATAACTGAATTGCAAAGAGATAGTCAAGTTCTAAGTCAAATAATTAACAATCTACGCATGGCATACAACAATCAATCCACCACTTCTGGAAAAATCAAGATTTTAACCTTGTTGCCTGTAGAACTCACTTATAGAGAAATCAGAAAGTATATCTGATGTTCTAGATACATGATAACAAAAGCTAATCACATTAGGGAAACACATGGTGAGTTAATATTGAGATAAATAAGCTTTAGCGATAAGATTTACAAGCCGGCTGATATAAATTGTTTTCCAAATTTCCGATAATTCCTAAAACATTTTAAAAATTTAATTATCATATAAGTGAATTTATAAAACTCATTTAAACTCATCAAATTCGCTCAATTACAATATTTATTCTAATAATGTTTGTATTTTCCGTTCTCCATTCATAATATCTTATTTGTATTGTCTCAGAATTATTTGAAATAATAAAAGTACTCATCTTGGTACTATTTTCTGATTTATAATTATTTATATTCCAATTGATAAGGTCTATAAATTTCAGGTATACTAGCCGACCCACTTAGAAAAAAGTTTTCTTTTTACTCTGAAGAGCTTGTAGAATCCATAGGAAGTTATTACAAAGATGATAAGAATAGCCGAGCTTGTGCTGATATCAAAGAATATATTGTTGTCATGAACGAAAAGACGAAAGTGAAAGAAAAATTACAGAAGAGATTGTTTTTTTTCAGTCTCAGAGATTTGTACCATAATTATCTAGACGATCATGCGGACGAATTAGAAAAAGTTCCCAGTTTGTCATATTTTGCTGAGCTACGACCAGACGAATGCTGTTTTGCTGGTGCTCCTGGTACACATTCCGTTTGTATTTGCATGGAACATCAGAATGTAAAATTGAAAGCAACAGCAATATCATTGTCATTGGATTACAGAGAATTATTAGATGTTTGTGTTTGTTCAGTAGATAACGAAAACTGTATGTTGAAAAACTGCTCTGAATGTCCCGGGGAAAAAGCCATTCAGGACTTTTTGCAAACTAAAAACCTTGTAAAAAAATGGCTACATCAGGTACTTAACTTGGTCATCCGTTCATTTTACAAGTAATAATGATGAAACAAATAGCAATACTCGCGTAACACTTATTCAAAAGGTCGAGGATGTCAAAGTATTCTATGAAGGGTTTGTGAAAGATGTTTTGAAATTAAAAGAACATCATTATGTCAATGAAACTCAGAAATATTGCTTCGCATTCATGAAGAATAATTTGAAGTATAACATAATACAAAAATAAGTTTATTTTTTTAGCTTCACATATTTTTGCGAAGCTTCTTTAATGAATGAAAAAAAATTACTGACAATTCTCATCATTTTTACAGGAATCATTTTACAAATATTTGTCATCATGAAGATGACTTTGGAATCAAAGTAGAATCCAATAATTTCTTTGCCCCTAGCCACGGTAAAGGACCTTGTGATGGAATCGGAGCTGTAGCGAAACGCTTTGTCAGGGATGCATCTTTGTGATTGACAGTAGAAAAGCAAATTTTGCATGCACGTGATATGTTCCTGTAATGGAAAAAATTAAGTAAGGCATTATTTATAAAACCGCTTTTTCGTACAATAGACTTTCGTAAAACTGAATATTATTCCATTTTTTGTAAGGTTTCTAGTTAGCAGTAATGAATGTGAACGTCGACAAGAAAGGTTCCAGAAACGATTTGATAGAGCACAAACTGTCAAAAATACTAGAGGATATCTTTACATGAAACCGATTAATAAGGACAGTGCCGAGTTTAAAGTTACAACTCTGTCTGACGAGAGTACGCCTGAAAGTATAAGTAAAAACTGAACATGTAGAAAAATAGATATTTTTTATCATTTAGCATAAACTAATATGATTTATTGCGCTTCATTTTTGTTCTTCTTCAAAAAGTAATTCAACCTGAATTCTGATATAACTTTGAATTTTCGCGCTACTTGTGAGCTCCACCAATCACAATACTGGATGTTGGTGAATCATCATTTCTTAGGGTAGGAATATGTATTTATAGAAGATGCACACAATTTGGCCCTTATTCTTAATATAATATTATCATAATCTTAATTACAATAGTAAATCGTAGATAATTATTCAAGATACCCGAAATTAATGATTTTGCAAAATCACATAAGTCAACAAGGAAGCAAAAGTCCACCGTTGTTATTATAGGACTATATTCTATAATACTAGAGCTGCTTAGAAAAATCTTGTTTGATGAAAAGGATGATGTTCGTATTTTTTAAATGTACTTTCAAAATAGCAATATTTTGCTATTTTCGGAATAATAACAAACTTTGAATACGCATATCTTTGGTCCTAATTAAGCTAGCGAGATGGACGGTATCGCAAATTAAAGCTCTTTTAAAGGCAAACAAAAAAATATCTTGTAATTTTTCAAAAAATGTCAAACTGACGGAACTACGAACCCGTGAATATGATTCAAAATAAAGCAATTATAAGTGCAATGAACCAGTGGGCATATCCAGCAGAGTGTATTTTCAGGTTTTGGACGGCCATTTTTTCAAAAGTAAATAAAAAGACCAATCGAATGAGAGGTCGCCCATCCTGATATCTTCAAAACTCACGGAGTTATAAGTCTTCAAGAATGGCCAAAAAAAGCTCATTTTTTCACCTATTTATATATATATATTTCGGTATATATATATTTAAAAAACAACTCAGATAGCAAAAGTCCTCTTGTTGCATGTACTACCATAGAAAAAATCGCCTCCAAGATCGGTTGACCCACCTGCGCAGCTTTTTTAAAAAATCTGTTGGACAGACCTATATATATATATATATATATATTTTAAGAACAATTAAAATCCATCTCACTATCAATATTCACGTCTAACTGATTGTTTCTGAAATTGCTACTCCACGTTTCTTCCTCATTTACTGCTAATAGTTTTCTATACATGAAATGTAGAAATACGATATTATATGTCAATGATAATATAATAAGTACAAGGATAGCATCGTATCCCATCCTTACATTGCAATGAATTTTTCTATATCGTGGGAAGCTCCATGATTTCTTTTACACTTAATCCTTTTTGAAATATTCGTTAAAGAAGTGAATTGATCAGTCATACCGCTTTTAAAAAAACGTCCAAGAGCTTATTTAACATGTTGTTCTTGCGAGCATATTCGATCGTTTGCTCCTGTATAAACGATGCTACAACTCATTTGCATTCTCAACAAAATATACCACTGATAGAGGCAATTTTTCAGGCAATGTACGAGGGGGGGTCAATAAGTCTTTACAAAATCTAAGAGATGGGGCTCGTCACGCTTAAATTATGATGTTTTTGGCAAGTAATACAACTAACTAGATGTCGTACGAAGTTTCAGCTCAATTCATTAAGTCGTTTTTTGTGAGCGTTGGTTGAATAAAAAGTTATTGGTTTATTTGAAAAATGGAAAAAAAAGAGTTTCGAGCGGAGTAGTATAGCAATGTATGTTCCAGCACACCTGCGGGGGGTCTGTGACCCTTTGACCCCACCTAGCTTAACCCTTTGGCCCCCCTGGCTTAACCCTTTCATGTTAATAATAATTATTATTGTTAACAATTATTATTAACAATATTCGTGGGGGGTCCCTTGGTTTAACCCTTTGGTTCTCTGGCCTCTATCCCTTCCATGTTAATTATTATTATTAATGTTAATAATTGTTTATAATTTTTAAGGAAGGTTTCTAGGGCTCCTAGTCCCTAGGGCTCCTAGTCCCTAGGGACCCTATACCTAGTGCTTTCAGTCTAATTAAATTTAAATTTTTTTTTTTTTTTAAGTTATAAATATATATTATTAACAATTTACTTGCTACATTAAGAATGAAACGAATATAGAAAATAGCGACGATTTTTTGAAAAAAATGAAAAGACAGACCGGAGAATCGAACCGGAGTCCTCTGGGTTGGCAGGCTAGCGTTCTACCACTAGAGCTAATGCCACATGTACCTTAGGGGATGCATATTGTGTATATTAGCTACACACGCATACATTTGGTATAGGGCCCGAGCGTGCGGAGGAGGAGGGGAGCGCATGCTGTCTATAGTTCTGGCCTGATGGGGATGCGCTACTATAGTAGTAAACGTATGCTCTCTCTTTCTTTCTCTTTCTCTCTCTCTCTCTCTCCCACGCTCTAGCTAAGCGTGGACCACTGTGCGCGGAGGGGAGCGTATGCTGTCTATAGTCAATACGTGCTCTTTCCACGAAGGGAACTGTTTTCGTGAGAATGCTAGAGACTACGAATGCAGTCGCTCGACTGACAAATCCATGAGATGTTCCTCATAAACATCTCTGCTAGGAGAGAACCTTATTCCCATCCATTCACCCTTTCTTACAATCGTTATAAGTATTTTACTATTTAAATAAGCACACATTTATTATTTATTTAATATTTATTATTTTCAATTATACATTGAATAGAGTACACTTTGTCTATAATCTTTATGTTCAGTGTCTGACATAGCTATTTTTAAATATTCAGTTGAATTTTTATATGAATTATAGTCATCTGTAAATCTTTCGACTGTGTCGATCCCTTTTGATTTTGCTTGTTTTTGTCTTTCCATCATCCAATCGTGTATCTTTTGTGTATTTACTGCAGCACATACGAGGTGTGATCAAAAAGTAAGGTGAATTTTGAAATTTAGCGGGCTACGTCCGTTCGATCTTCGACTTCTTTATTTGGTTATGTCGGTACACTCGTCTAGAACATACGTTCCAAATTTCAGCTTTGTAGTATGTTTGGTTTGTTTGTAAGAGGCATCAAGGTTAGAAGTGTTTTGCGTGCTCCACGATTTGCTGCTGTCTAAAAACATGGATCAAAGAGTTTGCATTAAATTTTGTGTGAAAAATGGAATCAAATGTTCCAAAACATTTGAAATGCTGAAAGTGGCATACGGTGAGTCTACTTTAAGCCAAAAAAATGTTTACAAGTGGTATACACTCTTCCAAGAAGGCCGAGAAGACACCGACGACGAACCTCGTTCTGGACGCCCCAGCACATCAACAACTGATGAGAATGTTGAAGAAGTGAAGAAAATAGTGTTGGGAAATCGTCGAATTACCATTAGAGAAATTGCTGATGATATTGGCATCTCATTTGGTTCATGCCAATCAATTTTGACGAGTGTTTTAGACATGAGACGTGTGTCAGCGAAGTTTGTTCCGAAATTGCTCAATTTCGACCAAAAGAAACGTCGCATGAGCATCGCCCAAGAGCTACTGAATGACGTCAACGATGATCCAGATTTACTCAACAGGGTTATAACAGGTGACGAAACATGGGTATACGGTTATGACGTCGAGACTAAAACTCAATCGTCCCAGTGGAGGCATTCTGGATCACCAAGACCAAAAAAAGCACGCCAAGTTCAATCAAATGTAAAGGTTTTGTTTACAGTTTTCTTTGACTGCAGGGGCGTGGTGCATCATGAATTCTTGCCACAGGATGGAACAGTAAATAAGGAATATTACCAGCAAGTTATGCGCAATTTGCGCGAAGCAATCCGCCAGAAACGTCCGAATTTGTGGAAAAATAAAAATTGGCTTTTGCACCATGATAACGCCCCTGCTCACACATCGTTGCTTGTGCGCGAATTTTTGGCTAAAACCAACACAGTAACGATGCCACAGGCACCGTATTCCCCAGATATGGCCCCCTCTGACTTCTTCTTGTTCCCAAAACTGAAGAGGCCCATGAAAGGACGGCGTTTTGCCACGATTGAGGAGATAAAGACGGCATCGAAGGATGAACTAAACAAGATCACAAAAAATGATTTTTTGAATTGCTTTGAGGATTGGAAAAAGCGTTGGCACAAGTGTATTATATCCGAGGGGGATTACTTTGAAGGAGATAAAATAAAAATTGATGAATAAATAAATATTTTTTGAGAAAAATAAAAATTCACCTTCCTTTTTGATCACACCTCGTACTATATTCTCGCGATTTTGACTATAATATACGGCATGATGGTTTAAATTTAAGACTTAAATCTTCCAATCCCGGACATCTCATTTCAGTTTCGATATCTAAAATATTTCTGTAATTAAAAAAAAAAAAAACTAATTAAATTCGAATTTAGAATTTTGTACTATTGTATATTATTTGAACCTACTTTTCAGGAATAATTTTTTTGAGCCATTGCTTCTTTTGTAATCCTTTCACATAAATATTTCTACAATTATGTAAATGACTGCGTATAGTACAATTTCAAAAATTATATGGTAAAATACCATTTCTTCATAATATACCTATAAAATTGATTATATTAAATATTTCAAATAAAATCAATGTTAATTAACGATAATAAAAATAAATACCATGATGATGTAATTCCAACCACTTATTAACACTTTGATATTCAATAGGCAGTTTGAGCCAATGATATGGAGGTTTAAAAAGTAGTACTGTAGGTGAAGTATTAGAACATACTGGTAAATAGGCAAACT